ACAATTATTACAATAAACTTTTTACACAAATTCCATCGAAACAAGAACTAAAACTACAAAATCAACAGAAAAAGTTGGAAATTCCTAAACAAGAATAAGAATAAGAAGTAAAAGGAAGATAAAAGTAGATGAAAGGAATGGTGGTTGGTTAGTGTTTGACTGCAACATAAAACAATTTTCTCGTTTAGAGAAAATTTTCTGAAAAAACCGCAAATTTGTAGAAATGTTTTAGGGTTAAGAAATCCATGTATAGATTAGACTAAAGTTTTTCCTGTATACAGCACTTTACTGCACTCTTCAATTCCAAATCTAGTCTGTCGAGAACAATTTTGTAACTATTCTCAGTTTGCCACTAACTTGAGGATGTTTTGTTTCCTTTGCAGAAGTATTTTTTGGCGCAATTTCCAAAAGGAAGCGACTTTGTCACACACTTTGACTAGCTGTCTCTGGCTGGTTTGATGAAAAGCTGTTTGATTGATTTTGGATCAAGATAAAAGCAGTCAAATGTCTAACAGAGTTTGTATTTTAAGTTTTAACTTGGTTCTTTCAAGTTTGATTGATCTGCTAATCTGAATAGCGCTTTAATCCCTCAATCAATAGAAGGACTTTACTAATATTTTACAATGTGAATTGGCAATTAAAACAATTTCACTTTGTTGTTTATTGTATAAAACAGAAACAGAAAAGGATATTTCTTTAATAAAAAGCAAACAACTGCCCGTATATCCGAGGTTACTGTAAAATACAAGAGCGACAGAATGAAAAAAATTGAATGATTGGCATTGCCTCAAGGCACGTAAAAAAATTGGAATTGTAAATATGATTTTTTTACCAGAGCCTTTTTTCTGTGCTGCTGAAGCTGAATGTGTATATTTATTCATTATTATGTAATTGTGTCATATATGGAATTTTATATAGATAGCAAAATATCGGGTGGGATAAGTTAATGAAATTGTGGAAAAGCGCTATTAATTGAATTTTGTGTTTTGTTGTGAAATTTTTCAAATTTTTAGAATAAATTAAACGGCAATCGTAAATTTTAAATTAAAAATCAAATGTTCTCAAATTATCAGTCCACCATTTTGAAATGTTTCTCACTTCAAAAACTTCTTGGCATTTAATTCTGATTGAAATCGTTTTTATTTTACAAAATATGAAATACAATATTGAAAAAAGTGGCAAAACATAATCCAAATTAGTTTTGTAGGTATAAGATTATTATTTTTGACAATAAATTGAATTTTCTTAATTTACAGAAAACACGTGGTCTAGAAAAATAATAAATCTTAAAAAAGAAAGAATAGTTGTCAAGACAAAAGATTTAATGACATCCAATAATATTATTCTATAGAAATACAAAAAACACAAAGAACTACTCAAAATAATCACAATAATTCCAGCATCCTTTACTCAAAAGAATTCAAAGCCATAAACTGAAAATCAATACCATAATTTATTTTATTATACATTTAATCAATCTTTAATAACATCCGAAATGACCTGACCCATCACAAAAACATGTTTACTGAGTAAAATTGTCCACCTTCATTTCCTGGCCTATTGTATTGCCATGTTCATACACACAATACATAATATTGTGCAACACATTTTCCAATTTAATGCAATTTTATTGCATAATTAAATTTTATGTATCGTTACAACATTTTATGGTTGCTCGAGCAACAAATACCCAATTATTGATACTATACATTGATGTTCCAAAATAAATTTTTATCCAATCTTATTTCTGAGAGTCGGTCCTTCAAGTGGACCGAATCTCATGCTCAGCAAAAAATAATAGAAAATTTCGAAATAAAGAAATAAGAAGCATAAAACAAGCATGAAGCTCAATTTTTTTTTTGTGAGTCTAACACACGAAAAAAAAAATAATAAAATTTCCCATGAGAGACGAAAAATGGATGGAAAATTGGAAGAAGGAATTAAATCGACCTTGACATTCACAACGCTTCCTATTGACTGTGATGAAGAGAATTCTTTTTTTTTGCAACTTGCTGTCTCGATAGCCAGACGACTATTATTGCACATTTTTTATACGGAGGGGAATTACACGAATGTAAAAGTCTTGTTCGTGTTACATGCGCAAATCGTGGTACAATTACATGCACAACAGTAGCCGAACATTTACTTTACTTTTACTTCCTCATGTGTCTCGCGAAAAGTTTCCTTATTTTTTTTGCTCTTTCCTATTTTTTTTTTTGAGAATCAAAGGATGACTGGCGTCAAGTTTATCAACCTTCGAAACATGAAAGGGATTTACATGCCTTTTGTAGCTTCAATTACTGACTCTCATCCACGCATAGGAGTGTGAAAATATCAAAGGACTATAAAGTGTAGAGGCATAATATAATCACATGTGTAAAGTCCTCAAGATTTTACTGATTACATCATACAGCAAGCAATTCACACTTTTTGAAAAGAGAATCTAGAGAGTGAGGAAGAGAGGCTTTTACATACATCCATACAATTTTGACCTATTAAAATTTTCATTTTCTCCCTCTTGTTTTTTTACAACAGCCCAACTCGATTATGTGGGTGCATATCGTCCCCCATTCCTATAATATGACACTTGAGTATGAAGGACAAAAGGGGGATACGTCGGCATATACACACATCCATTGCCATTGCATTTTCCAGCAGCAACCACCACCACCATCCGTCCATGAAACGAAGAGTGAGATGGGAAATGAAATTAAGTGTTGTCACATATCGAGGAGGCCTTTTAGCATTCACAGGCATTATAAAGTCTATTAAATGAATCAGGGTAACACAATTAAATGGCAATCTATAAATTACTTTTAACGACCAAAACACACATTCGGTGTAAAGGTCAGAGTTTATTGCATATTTTATGGATTATCAATTTGTCAATAATTGGCTGCCTATTGGAACTGTAATGTACATATTAATACATGAATAAGTATGTATATAGATGTGTATATGCATGATAACCCCCCCAACATTTGTGCACATCCAAAAAATTATGCATTCAATATTTAAATGCACCATACCCGAAAAATATGTGCACACAAATTTTATGTTTATATCAATATATATGAAGTGGGAGTAAATTAAGTGTCAATAAGGATATAAAAGGATATTATTTTTGTAACATGAAAGGATGAAATTACGTAAATAAAATTAAATTATATTTTATTAAAGTTATTCATGTTGTATCCATAAATGGAGCATAATCATCATCAACATTCAGCCTTTTGAGAAGTAATTATTACCGTCTTGCCATGGTTGAATAAAGTTGAAAGTTAAAGGAAATTAATTTTAATGAAAAATTAATTGTGCATATTCATTAAGGCGCTTCTAGTGTTCTTGTTTAGTATGAAAATTGCATAAAATGAAAATTATTCTTAAAGTTGTTTAATAAATTAACATTAATTTCCAGCGTGCAACTTTTACTTTACCTTATTTTTTGTAGGAGCGAAATTTTTGGGGATGAACATGTGCATTTTGGCGCCATTTCGTCATATTTTCAAATTATTCGCTTAATTGATGAATTTTGGGTAGTAAAGGTGTAAGGTGCTGCTCTTGCCACTTTTTTCAACTGATTGGAATAACAGTTTTAACATAATTCGTCTTAAATCGTGAAAAAATAGAAATATTATTTTCGAGTTGAAGCATTTTTTTAAACTTTTTTATTTTTATCACAAAATCGAATAATGTAAGTCCTTGATTGCTTGTGGTTTCACTGTTGCCATATTTTCTAACATAAATATTCTCAAATGTTCCAATAAATCGATCTCAATTCTAATTATTTCACAAAAAACTATTTGAGATGAGACACGTGGAACTATCTATAAAATTATTTTGTAAATTTCTGAATTGAGAAAAAACTGCGCTTTATTTTTTCTACACAGCTATTTTCTTCTTTCCAACTACCAAAGTGGGAGTCAGTATACATCTTCGCTCCTTTTCCTTCATCCCCTTTGGTAATTCATTACAAATCAAGTAGATTATCGTCTTGAATGAGCTTTTTACTGTATACGATTAAGAAAATAGTCGTCTCCTTATTTTATTCTTGTATCAAATTACATTTGAATTCATCTCAAATTGATGTGCATTTTATAAAATTGCAATTGAGGCTGCCTGATGTTTTCATTCTGTAATAATCATTAGATCTGGTTTTTCCATATCATATTATGACCTATTTCTCAATAATATCATTTTCAATTTCCTCACAACTTTCAACTGTATGCTGTGCCTGCACAAATGAATGTACTGTGTATAATAGTTGATGGATAACTTTCAATTTCTTAGATGCTATTACTTTTGATATAAATAAACTTATAGAAAAGAAATAAAATTGGTCATATTCACAAATCTTGTTTATGTTCAATTACGCAATCCTTTCTCCTCAAAGCAATAACTCAATTTTAAAGAAGCTAGCTTATGAAGAATATTTTACAATTTGCACATCATAACTCCATCATCCAGCAAAGCAACAGCAATAAGTAAGTAAGCATGCATCTGTTTTCCAAAATTAAAAAGAATCTCAGCGCTAAAAATATCTTTAAATCATCATTAAAATATTCATATTTGAACCGTGTGACGGAAGAGAAAGTAGTAAAAATACTTGACATGTGTGAGCGGTTAATAAATAATTAATTAAATAAGAAAAATGCGAATGTGCTCCATAAATAACGAAAATATCAGCAAATGCACATCTTCTCATGATTTTTAATTAATAAATTATTGACTTGTGATTAAAATTATCATCCATTTCTTTAATTAAGGAATACTATGTGGGTCCTCGATTTAAATAGATTCGATTTGAACAAGAATCAAGGACCCCCATGAACCAACGGCTTTTTTTTTGAATTTTTCTACGTCAAAACCGTAGATTTACGTAAGCTGTTGAAGTGTTCAAAAATAATCAGGCAACATTCAGAAATTTTGTTCGTGTGTAAAATAATTGTCAGTGTTTATAAATTTCACAAAAATATTTAATTATCGTGTTATTCCGCATTAATTCAGCTATTTAAATGTGTTAATCGAATTAAGGCATCAAGCAGTATCCATTGTCATATCACAGATCAAAAAGATTGCGTCACATCATTGTCAAATAATCGATAAAAATATAGAAAAAAAAGTGATTTTGCTTAAAAAAAATTAAAATATTATTTCATCATTTTTGCGTGTTTTTAAGCTTTTACACAATCTAACGACATAGTTACATCGTCAATAAACGACTAAGGTGAGTGTAAGGACATAAATCAACGCAAATATCTTGTCGAATTGGCTGAAAAATTTGTGATCAATTAAGTGCAATAAAAAAAATTCTATTTCGACATACATTAATTAATTGTCACAATCTAGTTATTCTCTGTACACACTACATTACTTGAGCCCATCTCTCGGTTACTTAAAAAGAAAACAATTTGCCACAAATACAGAAAAAATAAGAAGAAATATTTTATAATTTTGACTTCAGATAAGAAAGTAAAAAAAAAGAGTTTAAGTGTGAAAAAAACAGTAAATTAAGGAATATATAAAATGTCAACATCATCGCCACCAGCTCGTGTACCATCCAGTAGTCAAATTCCATCAAATAGCTCAACAGCTACGTTAAATGAATCATCCAGTCCACAGCAGCAACAACCACAACAAATTGCATGGCCAAGTTCAATGAATGATTATGAATTGGGTGATGTGATTGGTGTCGGTGCTACAGCAATCGTTCATAGTGCTTATTGTAAGCCACGAAATGAGAAATGTGCCATTAAACGAATTAATTTAGAGAAATGGAACACGTCTATGGATGAACTATTAAAAGAAATTCAAGCAATGAGTAGCTGCAATCATGAGAATGTAGTAACATATCACACAAGCTTTGTTGTTGGCGAGGAATTATGGCTGATATTGCGTCTTTTAGAAGGTGGAAGTCTTCTCGATATAATTAAGCATCGTATGAGAAAGTCTGATTGTCGTCATGGTGTTTTCGACGAAGCTACAATTGCAACCGTTCTTAAAGAAGTCCTTAAAGGCCTTGAATATTTTCACAGTAATGGACAAATTCATCGCGATATAAAGGCTGGCAACATATTGTTGGGCGATGACGGCACTGTACAAATTGCTGATTTTGGTGTGTCTGCATGGCTCGCAACTGGCCGTGATATGTCGCGTCAAAAAGTTCGACATACATTCGTTGGAACACCTTGTTGGATGGTAACAAGCATATTCCTTTATTTACCCAAATTGTAGTGCCTTTTCATAGTCGTCGTCTTTTTGTTCTTTTTCTTCGTTAGAATTCGCACCTTACTGTGTGTATTCTTCTTTATTATTATTATTTCGTATACCTTAGTTCGTTTCAGTTGTTCGCCTCACACGCGTAATATATCCATAATGATCATCCATAATCTTTTCTGTTAGCATATATTCTTTTTGAATGAGTCCACTAACATTTCACGTTTCATCAATATAGTGCTATAGTCCATGTAATGAATTTGCTGTAGTCACATACTTATAGATTTAAGCTAGGTGATTTATGCGCATTTTACTCGAGTTTTATCGATTAAATGATATGTCAAGGTTCCAAAACCTTTCAATTTTTTTGTCTGAAACCCTTCAAATTTTTATAATGTGCTTCAAAACCTTACAAATGTTTTTGTAGGTTTCAAACATTTGTACGGTCTTCGAAAATTAAGTATCCAGCAAACAAGTAACAAAACAATCTGTAGACCTAAAACTAGTCTCTTGAGTTTTTTATCGCTAGCATCTTGTAGCTAAGTCCTGATCTTTATATCCATAGTAGACCACTAGACAGTTCAAAACCTTTAAGCACCTCATACTTAAAACACATGCTCTTCATAGATGTTAAAATGCTCTAAATGATCGCGCAATTAAATTATAAATTTCCGTGTATATTTTCATAGCATTTATTTCGATTTACAGAAGCCAAAAATAATCCATAAAAAAAAGTAGAGAAATAATCAATTTTTCATAGTGATGGAAGTTGAACTGCTGAGTTGATGATAAGAATCTGTGGATTTTTACCGCATTTACATAACATTATGGATAGACTTTGCTTTAGAAATTTAATATTGGTTCATATTTAGGCGAAAATGGGTGTACAAAAAAATAATGCTTTTTAAAGGCTGAATTTCTTTTTTGATACATTTTGGTATAGCAGAAAAATTTAGGTCATGTGTAAATGTAATTTCTGTAATTTATGCCTATTACCAGTATATCACACACTCAATTACGTGTTGAGTTTTTATATTTCATGGTGAATTTAGTGGAAATATTAAGTTGTAGTTTTGTAATTGGGGATTAAGGTAATTAATGACTCATTTTAAGGTTTGCAGGAAATTTGGTATGAATGTGGACATGATCATGTAGTTTGCAAGCATATTGTGACACAATTGTTGCAGCTAGAACTTTTCTAAGGGTTGAAATCCATGTAATTTGGTGTAAAGCTAGTTTGGCGCCAAAACTAGGCGCTTTAGCTATCAATAATTCCTCTAGATCACTATAAACTTTCAAAACACGTCAATTAGCTCCAATGCGCTCTATCCCTCAACCCTAAAATCACTCCCCAACTTGTTCCTCACATTCTTAAACTTTTTTCGACTATGAAAAGAATACTGTGTAATAATAGATATGCTAATGAATAAAATAAATGACTCATATATGTCTCATTTATATCAACAGGCGCCTGAGGTGATGGAGCAAGATCATGGCTATGATTTCAAGGCCGGTAAGCTTACACATCTAATAATAAATTAATTAAATCACATATATGCAATTTCACTTTATGCAAGAAGAGAGCGAAGCAAAATTTAATTAAATTAAAAAATATTTGATTTGATTTCATTTATTATGTGACTGAAAAATATAAAAGATATTTGGAGTTTTGGAATTACGGCGATTGAAATGGCCAGCGGAACTGCTCCTTATCACAAATATCCACCAATGAAGGTACTTCTGCTCACCTTACAGAATGATCCACCGAATTTAGACACCGGTAAATTTATTGTTATGAATGAATTTTTGAATGGGGAGTGTATCTAGGGGATAAGGATGAGGCGTCGATAAGGGATGAAGTTGAAGATTTTTGAAAACTGTTGAGAAAGCTTGTCCAAAATTATACATTTATATTGTTTTGATGAAAAGTTAAGCCTTTGTAGAATTTTGAAACATTTTAAAAATTATTTGGACTATTTATGAATTTAGAAGGGTTAATATCAGTTACAAAACACTTGAATTAGACGAAAAAGATGAAACAGATAAAATTTTAAACTTTCTAAAAGAAATTAATATTTACGACAAAATCTAACACTAAAACACATAATATCCTGTATTGCAGTTCGTATTTATAAAACTAAAAAACATGTAAAACATATTTGGAATTGAAAATGGTCTTAAAATTTATTAAAAAGGACCTTAATAAAGATAATTAAGGTTTTGTCAAATATGTAAGAATGTGTAAGGTGTTGGAACACTTCTGGATACACTTCTCTCCTCTTAAATTCAAAATAAATTGCCAGAAATTAATTCTCAATTATTCACAATAAATAAAGGAGCTGAAGACAAAGATCAATATAAAGCATACGGAAAGACATTTAGGAAAATGATAATGGAGTGCCTACAAAAAGATCCAGCAAAGCGACCAACAGCCAGTGAATTGCTTAAGAATCCATTCTTTAAGAAAACAAAAGATAAAAAGTATCTAACACAAACGTTATTGCCGACTGGTCCATCAATGAAAACGAGAGTGAATAAGGCTTCAAAACGTCAACCAGGTGCATCTGGTCGGTTACATCGTACGACTAGTGGCGATTGGGTTTGGTCTAGTGAAGAAGAAGATAATGGCAAAGATTCATCGGATTCTGAGGAAGAAGGCAAGCCGAAGCCATTAAATCAAATTGAACATGCTGACTCGTCAGACGATGAGCATGATGATTCCGATCCGTCGACAACAACTGCGACAGATCCAACAGCTGCTTTAGATGTAACGAACAAATTGACTGTTACGGAAGATGAATTTCGTGTTGTGAATTTGGTGCTAAGAATGAGAAATGCAAATCGTGAATTAAATGATATACGCTTTGAGTTTGTTGTTGGTAAAGATACAGCCGATGGAATAGCCTCGGAACTTGTTGGTGCCGGACTTGTTGACAATAATGACATGACCATAATGACGGCAAATTTACAAAAGCTCATCGATCAACGAAATACGTTAAAAACTGTAACATTTCAATTAGCTAGCAGTATGGGTGAAGTGCCGGATGAAAAGTCGCTAATTGGATTTGCGCAAATATCAATAACTGATTAAGATTCTTATTTTAAATGCTGTCTGTGTGTGCGTGTTCGGGAACCGAAAAAAAATAATGCGGGAAAAAATGATTAATTATTTTTATTTTTATTGTTCAATTAATCAAATGAAAAAAGTGTAAAAAAATATGTAATGAATGAAGTTATTTTTCAATCAATTGATCAACCTTGATCCTACTACTCTATCCCTAACTACTACTTACTATAATTAACTCAATTATTGTCTTCGATATGAAGTAAAAAAATTCTATAATACTTAGTATGCTTTACTCTCTTCTAAACTCTTTTTATTTCATTATTTATTGGATGTGCACTGCGCTGCGATGATGATGATGATGACAAAGTGACGACAAATTCTTAATTTCTTTAATGTTCTTAATGTGTTATTTGTAATTTGTTTTAAATCACGTGGGCTTGTTTTTCCTCGGGATTAAGTTTCCCTCTACAATGTGTCGTTAATACTTAGAGAGATGGGAATTTATATGAATTGTTGGATAGGATTGTATCATTCACATTAATGAAACGAAGGAAAATAATGTTAATAAATTTCAACCATTCACATTGATGATCATTCTGTGAATGTTTTAAGATAAAACATGTTTGATCACGTTTTTGGGGGATTTTAAAACTTCAAGGGGGAAAGCCAATAATTTTAAGATATTCAAAAAGAAATTCTTGTTTTTTGTTGTGCCCTAAGATTTGTGTGAGCTTTGAAAAATCTAATATCGACCAAATTTGGGCTCAGTTCAACAAACATTTGTAAGGTTTCCAAACAATGGGTTTAAAATTAATCTAAAACTTTGCCTTTGTATGGTTCCGAACATGAATAATTCTTTCATTTGTAAGGTTTAATGTAACTTTTAAAGAAATTGTAAGGTTTTATTTCTAGAATTTTTGAATTTAAATGGTTTTGAAACTTTTAATATTCAAAATTGATATTAATATAGGAACCAGTTAATCACAGTTTGCATGCTAAATTCAAACTTCTATGCTACATATTATTTAAATGTCAAAAATTAATCATTTCTCTAACTGACCCCAATTTTCAATGAGGAACAACAAAAATATTGTCATTTCTAATTACTTCATAAACATGAATCATCAGCATCCAAAAATAGCATGTGAAAACTATAATAATAAGCGTAGGACCTTACAAAATCCAAATTAAGTCGCAAAAAAATTATTCTGCCATTCAAGACACATCAACAAAAATTATTCTTGACTTAAAATTAATAAAGTTCCTTTCCGTATATTTCATGTCTTTCTGTATCTTTATTTCTAATGATTCTCATTCAATGTTGCAAGCAATATTCATGCTTTTATTGAAAAGAAAAACAAGCCCATACACATATTTTTATTCGGTTTTATAAAAATAAAAATAAAAAATGAAATTCGCGTGCATTAAACAGAAACAGAAATAGGCGAATAAGAAGAGGGAAGTATGTGGAAGAGACAAAATTAGCGCATATGTACGAATATATTATAATGTATAATTGATGATTTTTTTAGGTTGTTCAAAATTCCTTATAGGAAGGAATAATAATAATAATAATTTTTAATCAATTTAGCTAGTTAATATGTATTTTATTTCCCTTATTTTTTGCTTCAATTCCACAAATTTAAAGAAAGAAAAAAAAACAACAACAACAGTAATATAATTATAATATGTAATAATAAACAAAAGTCACAAGTTTTATTTAATTTTATAGGACATAAAATAATTTTGAATGCTATATTATTAGTAAGAAAAGTGAACAGCAACTCTAACTAGCTCATATTGATTTACAAGAGACGTAAAAATAGTAAAATCGCTGTTAAATATTATGCGGGCGACTTGAGGCGCAATTTTCATTAAGGATAGTGAATTTTGAAAAATTAAGGCATTTTTGGATTTAAATTTAGACTCGGCTGAAGCTATGAAATTTCTGTCATAGCTTCTCGCCCCTGATTTGAAGTTTGAACATCGTTGAAGTTAACTTAATCAATTTAGAAACTTGTAAAGGCTAAAAAACATAATAAACTTGATAGTTTGATCACTAAGGTAGGATCAAATAAGAAAATCAATCATAACGACGGCAATTTATTCATAATTCGAAGAAATTTGATCAAAAACAATAAACTAAGATCCAGTAATCTGGTTAAACATCGAGACAGTAGAACAAAGTGCTCACCAACTCCATTATCCTTACCAAAATTGCGCAAACAAGAGATGAAAAAAAAAATGAGAATTTACATCAAAAAGTAATAAAAAAAAAGAATTGAAATAAAAAAAATATTAAATTCACGTGATTTACTTAAGCAACATTCAATAAGCGTTAGATTCAATTAATTTAGATTTATATGTAGAATGGGTTTTATATTTTTCAATTGATTGTTAAATTCACTGTATCATAAAAAAATGAATTTTAAATAATTAATAGACGCGCCACAGAATCATGAAAATTGTCTTTTACACAGTCGATGAGGAAAAAAAATAGCATCAACGAAGAAATAAAAGCTCTTATCTTAATGCTGCTACTATGAGAATTTGATTTTCTTTCTTCTTCAATCTCCAAGTATTTCCAGACATCTATCTGTACATTTTAATGCTGTGGATGGAATGAAATATATTTTCAGATATGCGGTTTCGCATTAATTTTTAAATACCGCTCATTTTTGAATAGATTAATGCAGAAAATATGGGCTGAAATGCTCATTTTGACTGACTTGACATGAACTTGAACATTTTCGAGGTTATGATAGGAATTTCCTTACTGGATGTTTGTAGATTGTTTTGTATCTTGCCATTTTTGAGGAAGGGAGTTGTGGGGTCGTTCAAAAATGACGTTTGTTAAGAAATTCGAGCTTTTGACCCACTCTTTTCTAGATTCCGTTAAACTGGAAGTTGTGGGAGGTTATAAACACAGACTTTGGTCATTTGTAGTTGTCCCCCTGCCTCGACATGAACCCATTAGCAACCATATCAATGTAGCATAGCACCCGTAACTCATTGCAACTTCCTACTTATCAAATATTGTCCATAAAAAACTCGACGATGATGATGAGGTAGAAAATTTTACGACAAAATTGTGTAATTTGCATAATTTTCCACAATCTCATGTTCAAATTAGAGATGACAAGAGCTTGGCAAAAAATTTGTACAGAACGAGAAAAAAAAAAGAGTAAATCATTCTCTTATTTCACGTATAATTTTTTTTTCTACCTCATGAATTTATTTTCTCATAAATTCTTCAAAAATCTTTTTATTATAATTTTTTCAGAAGAATAATAATTTATGAAAACATCATCGTTTTAATTAAAATTCAATTTTTTTGAAATTAATTCGTGTACAGAAAAAAAAGGTTATTTTTGGAAACGTAGAGCTTGCAAGCTAGGGGGATAGTGACTTTAATTGGATATATTATTATGTATAGCATAACTAAATTATTCTATGAAGTGAAGAAATGTGTTCGCTTTTAGGCTTATTGAGAAATCTATAATAAATAAATTTTATAACTGATGATTGGTGTTTTTTGAATTTTTGGCGGGAAATTTTTTATTTTTTTTAAGTAATATTTTAAATAAACTCAAAATTAAGTCGCTAGTAAAAAACTCTAGTAAGTGTATTATGAATTTTAAAACAAATTTCAATGTTGAAGGAGTTTTGCCCCCCTAAGCTTTCATACTTGCCCACTTAAAAGCTTTCAATTCCCCCTAAAACAACTTAATTATTAGTTTTTTCGAAAAAAAATTCTCTGAATTCTCTCGGCAGAAAAGCTAGTAGGATAAAAAAAAAATAATAATATTTTAATTAAATTAAATCCTACCTCAATTATCCATAATATTATTTTATCTATAATGAATTTTAAATATTCTTAATTCAATTTTCAATCCAAGATAAAAAAAAATTTCCCGTCGTGTGCAACAAAATTGAAAATTTTCTCTGATTCGACAGATTTTTTTTAAATTAATTAAATCTTTTTGCATTCATTCATGCAAGTTTGCTTAATTATATATTTTTTTTATTATTATTTTACCCTGCTGCTCATCATCTTGCTCTCAATATCTTTATTTTTTCTCTCGTTCTTCCTTTACAGACCAGAATAATAGAGAAATAAAATAATAAATTGCAGATTAAAAATGACAGATTATTTTGAAGAGATGAACTTTCAGCCAATTGATGAAGACCAAGTTGCTGAGCATCAATTAATGCTAATGGTACGATTTTTGCGTCAAAGCGGTTACGATGAATTGGATATGCAATTCAACACTGATCGTTTGCCACCGCCAACATCGAAGGAATTAATAAACAATCTTAAGTCACGACTTGTTAAGGCGCATGACGAAAAATGTCCAATTTGTTTAGCACCAAATGAAAATTTGAGCGATGAGACATTCTTAACTCTACCATGTGGCCATGATTTTCATAATGAATGCATCTTACCTTGGCTAAATCGCACCAATACATGTCCTCTGTGTCGATCAGAGATGAAAACCGATGATGAGGAATACGAAGAGGCGAAGAAGAGGAAACAACGGAAACAAGAAAATATTGAAACATTACACAATTCGATGTTCGGTTGAGTCGCCAAATTGACAATTGACAATCTTCTTTTGTCTATGTCGCTTTTATAGACAATTTATATGCACTAGCTTCTCCTCTCTTTTTCTTTGTGCTGGTTTCTTATTTAGTTTCAATCCAATGAATGACAACTGTGTCTTATTTTTCATATTATAGCGTTTTAATTTTAAAATTTTGAGGTTTTTTGTTTACATTTTCCATATCAATAGTTTGTGTCTAAATTTTGAAGTAATTTGATGTTTATCAGCTGATTAAATTGTAGTCAAATTTCAATTAAGTGTGAGCAAAAGCATTCCAATTATAATGACACAGAAAATCACCTTTACTATCTTAAAAATTGCAAATTTCAATATCTTCAAGCTCAAAATGTGTTTGTAAAAAAGTGCGGGAAAATCAATAATCCAAACGGTTTTTTTCACATTGGGTTTCATTATTATAGAGGTGAACTAGTGACTCATTCCAATCAATTTTATTATTACTCCACATATATTTACGATGGAATTGCTATGTAGACATTTTAGTAAATAAATTAATAAAAATTTTCGGTGGTAGAATTAACTCAAATGCGTCCACATATTTATTAAGAAAATTACGGACGACTGATAAAGTTCAAGTGTTTTATGGGCTTCTAAAATTGGAATTTTATGATTTGTTACAAATATGAAATGTCATCAATTTGATGAGCGACTGGCAAGCCTCGTGACTAACCTTTTGTTTCTTACAATCTAATGACCGCATTGCTGTCAAAATTTGTTATGTTGTTAGAACTATTTCAGCGCGTTTGAACTATTAATCGACGGGCATGCTTCTTGATGATTTATTCGTTAGCATAATGATGATGATTTTGGAATTATCGGCATTTAGTTGCTGTTTTCCGTAAACGAGGTATGTATGGAAGCTTTTTGGACTGACAGCATTGCTGAACATTGAAGGTTTGGTTTTTGTTTTAGGCTAAATTTGTTAAGTTAATTGGATATACTGATTCTTAGTTTTACAGAAGATCATGATCTACCGTCCATCCTCAGTTCCGTATCCAGGCAACTCTAGTCGACTTCAAATTCTGCTAAATTGCACAAATTTCATGAAAAACAGGCAACAATCTATCATATTGACGACAATGTCTTCTTGTTACTGACTCTTGCGTGCTATTATGCAGTAATATTGATTTTGTGCTATTGTTGCCTGCACGAACTTTAGCTATATTCTGTAAAAATTTCCATTTTCTTTCACTTAATTGATGCTTTACTTTTTAACAACCAGAACATTTACAAAGTGTTACATCTGAGCCTCATTTAATTTGCTATTCAAGATGAAATATTTGAATCTTTTTGGTTAATGAGAATTCCAAGACGTGACGCTCTAGATGCATTTTTATGGATATATGTATCGATGCTTAACCATTGATGATTTGATTACTACTAATTAGAGACAAAAATAACTGTATTTAGCGAATAAATTTGTTTATGTGACATGTGGAGAGCAATTAGAGACATTGATGGGTCGATGAATCGATCGTTTCGCATTCTGATGATTTTATTTGGTTAAATTACACTTGGTAAGTGATTAAGGCTAACCATAGCATCCTGTTCTACACTTGATGTATTGCTCCCTCTTAGCTTTTAAAAAATGACACCAAAAATTCTAAATATCTTCGCATGACCTTGCAAGTCGAAACATTGTCTTAAGCCTGCAAAAATAAATATTCATCACATGATCTGCAGTAGCTCCATTTTTCATTGCGGTCACATCTACTCAAATATCAAATTACCATTTGAATTAATGTCATTCAAACTGAGCATTTTGTCTCCTTGACACCAAGGAACTTGACACTTTGTATTTGGTAGTGACTTGAATTTCTCTTGCTGAGACCCCTGTGAATTTTTAATGTTTTGAGAAATGATACTTAAGTGTTATGTGAGCTGAGATGTAAGTTTCTCATATAACACCAGCGATCGTGTGCTGTGGATCGTTTACTTCAGATGTTTTTAGAAAGATTGTCTGCTTGAGGGATTTGTTATAGATAGATTGGAAAAATGGTAGTTTGATAGCTTCATGAGTAGCTATATCGACACGATGTAACGATCACAAATGACAATGATCAATATTGAATATAGGAAAGCTTTAAGAGCATGAAAATCAAACCTTACAGGTTCATATCTTAACAGTCGTTTGGTTCGGGAACTGCAGTTTGTTGATACTTGATATTGATCTTAAATCAGGTTTGAATAGTTTGTATTCAGATCTTCTTGCCAATCAACTAACCTCAAAATTCTTTAGGATGACTTAATCCATACACAACGACCAGATGCACTTGCCACGATAAAAACTCTTCAAGTTGCAGTAAAAAAGAAGCAATAAAACTTCACAAAACAAATGAATAAAAAATTTCTTTTATAATTTTTTTGATGAATGAAAAGAAAAGTGGATATGAATACATTAAGGTAGGTCATAATCAGTCCACAAACGTGTAAAACTCATTTCATTGACGTAATAAATATTTTATTCATATACGACCCGACTGAATTTTTGTTTTATTGTATTGTAAAAAAAGATTGTGGGGTCGATCGTTAATGATGTCAATCTTGAGCTCTATTAAGGATTTAAGAGAGTTTGGAGAGGGGAATAGGGGATTTAAAAAACGATGTAGGATCCCAAAGATCTGTGACAATTCAAATAATAGTCGAGTCCAAGAGTTATGGACCCCATCTACTCATATGTACCGCATCCAACGATCAATCCCACAAAGAGTTAAAAGAAAGCAGCTAATATAAATCTCCAGCAACACAATCAACGACCCGAACGGTCAAAAAGAAGAAAAGTAAGCGAAATAAAAAATGTAAATGTAAAAAAATGCAGCACCAAGAAAATAAAAAAAAAACGAAAGAAGTTAAAAGACATTAAGGAGACACTCGTGCTGACTTCACGAGCCAACGAGAAACACAAGAGTTGCATCACATTGCCATTTTTTTCTTCTTTCGTCTTCATATTACTAGCTTTGCTTACTCTACACAACTACATATCCATTGGATGTGATCTCCGATTTTGTTTTTTTTTCAGCTATCCCTCACATCATCCCCACTGCCAATTTCTAAGATTTCTCTCACTGAACTAAGCAAGTAATGTTGTGCCTTGTTTCCACAATGTAAAAAAATATATCCAACTCAGTACTCAAATATACCTTGCATTCAATAGATGCTTGACTATTTACGCGTAAATTTTTTTATAAATTCATATTATTGCTCTCTGTTGTGCACTCTCTACTTATACATACAGTCGTACCTGCAATTTTGTGATATCTATACATAAATGTTTTATTAAGGCATACTACATATATTGTGAATAATCATATAGAATATAAAAGGTGAAATAAGTTGCATTCATTAAAAAGATAAGCACTACGTGTACATACAAAGACCTTATCGCTGTACGCATTCATCAATGATACAGGCTTGAGATTTTAAAAAATGCTACTCGATTCTTATTGAGACAGAAATCATCAATTTTAGATTAAATTTCATAACTTTTCGAACGTCTCACAAATAAATAAAAATATCTCACAATAATAATAAAAAAGTGTTGATTGAAAACAGCAGTGACATAATAACATCACAACATACATTTCTGTATATAGATATAAAAGAAGAAGACCGAACGGAGAAGAAGAAGAAGAAGCTTATATTGTTAATAATTTAATATAAGCAGCCATAAAATGTTGATGCGTTCATCATCATTAATTGTACTAGTGGCCATTGCTGGATATCTTTTTGCAACAGGTCAGTCTCTTTTATTTCTTATTTTTTATTTTCTTCTGTTTTGGTGCTGTTGTTGTAAGAGATTTATAAATATATTATGTATAATTCGTTTTTAATACCAAATAGCAAATAACTGCAACTTTATTCAGTAATTTGTTTCATTGCTTAACGTACTAGGCGATGATTTCGATAGGCATGGATACTTAAGTTGGATTAAGAAAGGGAATTACTTTTGTTTTTGTTAGAAGTGGTTTTTTAAGGAATTCAATCTTGTTTCTTTTTCAATTGTAAGGCAATATTGACTTTTGCATCTTAATTTGCTTTTTTTACAAATTCTGCTTCTTTCTGCATCATTTTTATAATTGATGCGAATTTCTTTGCTTCATAAAAAAAGAGCTTTTCATATAAACTCATTCAACAAATATTTTACATCAATTGTGTCACTGACGCAAAACTTTTGCATCATTTTTTGCTTCTGATGCGAAATTTTTGCATCACTTTTTGCATCTCAAGCGAATTTTTGGCATTACTTTTTGCTTCGGATGTAAAATTATTGCACTTCCTTTTCCCCTTCAATCTACAAACAGAACTAAATGTCAAAGAGTCATTCTTACAGTGCGCTTTAAGTAACCCTCAAACAAACCAGACTAAAAGACTTTACAACAAGAGTTTAACGAACATGTTGTGACTAAAGTCATCGTACATGATGCACACGTATTATCTTAATCTTTAACTGTAGCTTCAATCCGAAGCTATCAACTCCCATTCATCTTTAAATAATAAATTAATTAGCATTAAATGCATCGCTTAACTTTGGATTAAAGCAATTGCGATTAAGCGATGGGATTCTTCAGAATCAGGACACGGGATGCCTTAGGAGAGTTGTGATGAAATTTATATACTTATATGGATGGGCTGTTGCTTGACATGATGTAATAGGGAAACATTTAAGAGCTATTTTCAGATTTCATTGGATGTAGATCAAAATTGTAGGTTAGTCCCTTAGTAAATCCTTCTGGAACCTCTCTAAATAGTAAATTAGCTTTAAACTTATCTCAATCTCATGTCCTAGTTAGCCACACTTAAAAATATGAATCATATCTCGATGAAAAATTCAAAGATTACATAAAACATAACCTCAAAAAATTTTCACATAATCATCATCAAGCAGACAAAAAGTCCAACATCAAAAAAGAGATAAATGAAGGAAATTATATATAAAATACTTACAATTTAGCACGATTTAATGTTCTCAAAAAAAATAGACTGTACATAGTGGTACAACATTATGAAGAGAAAAAAAGAAGGTGTGATCATTGAAAGTTTCGATTTTGCTATGCTTTGTTAGACTCTTTGAGTGCTTGTTACTTTTTATTATTATTATTTTTTTCTTACAAACATACAATATAGATTTATGTGCTTTAATAAGTCACATACAGTATTTTTTGCAAATAAATAAATCGCGGCGCATAGAGCGCAAGCAGTGAACTTAGCAGCAGCATAGAGCACACAATGAAGTCTTAAAGTAGTAGTTTGTCAAGGTCAAAAACCATCCAATATACATATTACTTTACTTACTTACTTCATTTCTCATATGTATCACGCGATTTTAAAGATATTTCAATTTTATTATTACCATTTTTTCGGCTATTTGAGCACTAAACTGGGAGTGTGTGTTACTTTTTCAAGCGCAATCAAAACTTTGTTTTCATTTTGAGCAAGACTCGAAATTGCACAGACAATTTGTTGCTGTTATGTTGATGTAAGGGAGATAGCTGCTTGGTTGGAACTGGAGCTTGGTTCAAGGCTCGTGAGGAGTTAAAACGCTCATGTAAGCAAAGAGTTTGAAGCCATTAAAAAAAATAATTTTTGGCGCCAAAACTTCAAAAACATTCCAAACAAGCAACAATCCCCCTAACCTCTAAAAACTGTGAATATGAGAAAGGAAATTTCAGTAATTTTTTATGATTTGATCTCATTCAATAACGCAAAATCTCTGCCTCTGCTCGCATAAATTAACTGCCTATAAAGTGCAATAAATAATTTAACACATTTCGCCCTTTATTGATTGCTATTTTCAGCCTATACACAAATGAGTCATTTACAAAATCTTCACTTAATACCATAAGCTAATCGATAAAATAGTCGATGTAAGGACAAGTGATATACAAATGAATCATGAATCGTTGCATGTGTATGCTATGCTTTATTTTATTGCTTTTTATGAGATTTTCATCCATTAAACTCGTATCGAATAAATCAGCTTTGGAAAGAAGCTTATAAACTGTAGCTGTCTTAATACAATTATTTTCCACGACTTGATCTGCATTTATGTGTAATTTTTATGTGATATTTACGGTAATAAAATTCACTCTTAGTTCCATTGATTTTCCATCAAATCCAAATAATCTTCTTAATCGGATTTGTTCTGATGATATGTCTACGATTGTTTGAGATTGATCTTTTAAGAGATTATGTTGATTGAGTGCAAAATGTTGACTTTGAAATGAGTTAAAAGTGAGAAAGTAAATGAATTTAAAGTAAATGCTGTTTATTTTATTGAAATACTCGCTTAATATGCTTGATATTATCATATTTAAAGAGATTATTGCGAAATTTACAAGCATTTAAGAGATTTTGGCTTTTAATTAGATAAATGTTTGCAAAATAAACAGGTTTAAATCGAAAAAGAAGTCCAAAATTAAATAATGACATTGAATTTTACCAAATGATGTGTAAAAGTATGCATTTAATGTGTAAATGTTGTGTAATTGATGTGTAAATGTTTAGATGATATGTAAAATATGGTAGATTGATATGTACTTTATGGCTATTTTGATATATTCTCATATGTATTTGATGTGTAAAAATTTAATTGTTGTGCAACTAAAATGTAAAAATGTATCTTAAATTTAAAATTAAATCAAAAATGCATCTTATAATGAATTAATGCAAATTAATGTCCAAAACTATATGTTTAAAAATAATTCAATGGTTTTAATGCACGATCAATCCATAAAATGCATTAAACAGTTTAAAATCACTCAATATGTAACAAATCTCTTCTAATTCATTACAATTCACTCTAATGTATAACTAATGCGAAACCAATGCACATTCTAATGCATAATTGCTATGCAAATGATGTGTAAAATTACATTTAGATTACAAATTTCTGTTGATTTTTTTTACGGGCTTCTTAACGCTTGGCATTTAAGAAGAATAAAAATGATTTTTACAAATAAGCACAAAATTCAATTCAAAGCATATTCAATAACCATAAAATGAAGCAAAATATGATCAATAAAGATCAATTTGAGTTGATGCTACTTAATGGTTGTGGTATAAAATATGAGAAGTTCCTATTAGGGGGGGGGGGGGGGGGGGGAGAAGGGGTTTACAAATGATGTTCGTTTAGAAACTTTGAATCCTCTTCCTTCGTACGGTTAATTCAAAGATCCAAGGGTCTAGACCCCTTCCCACCTAAAAGTTAAATATCACTTATGAACGAACGAAAATAATTCACATCTACATTGGGGACATCAAAAGGATCCACCAACATTTCCAGTCTCGAACGAACACTTTATAGACAATGGAAGTTTAAGTTCAGCTTATTTTTATGGTTTCAATAGAAGAATCGATGATCTAAGTTGACAAATTGTTGACGCTATTGAAATCAACGAAACAATAAAAAAAATTCTATAAAGCGCCAAATGTAGACATCGGCATTGAGTTTCTTGTGCTCTTTATAATGTTAATGCAATTATTATGTAAAATACTGACTATATGAGTAATAATCTTCTTAATTCAATCTCGTTTTTTTTCTGTGCTGTGCAAAATGACTGATTAATAGCCCCGAATTAGCCAAAAGAGTTCCGCGATTTAATTTAATTCAAGATTCATCACAGCGATAAGCCTTTTTTTGATAAGCAGCGACAAAAAGCAGTTAAAATCAATTTGTTGCGTGACTTTATGTAATAAAATTAAAAAAAAGTTTATCTGACAGACACAATTCCCACAGCATTTGACACGCTTAAACAAATTTTTAATTGTGCTGAACAGAATGAAAAAATCTTAATGCTATTTCTGCTATTTCTACTTCTTCCATGATGAGTAATGTAATTTAATAACAATGCTGAAATTTAATATAATTAAAATGTGGAGCAAATATTTGATGCAGCTTCGTAAGATTCTTTCATAGCCTACATATTTGGAATGTGTGGCTTTGATGTGCTCTTTTGTTGAGCAACTGAAGCGCATTTCCTTTAATTAATTGTCATTATGAGCATGTGATCTTTTGTTGATGAAATATGGATCATTATGGAACTTATTACATCATTTTGGATCGTAATAAAAATATGGACTAATGCTTTTTGATGGGTTTTTTGGAATTGGACATATTAAGTATGTGTTTGGAAAGACAAATTAAGTGATGTATCAAGCTTCAATCAAAGAATTATTAAATTTCAAAATTTAATCCAAGATGAAGTTTTGAAAGAGTTTATGGCGCCAAAAACGATGGATTTAGATGCCTAGGACAGTGACAACTTCTTGCCACCCTCTAACTCAACCCTCCAGTCTATTCTATTCAAAAACTTTCAAACATGATTACTTAACGACCCCATACATAAGCTACGATCCCTGCAAATTGAAATTACGTGAATTATTCCACAATACCTCTCACATACCTCACAATCTGCCACCCAAAGCGATCAATTATCCACACATAACATCTGTTACAATTCTTTTTTCATAAACTATAAAGAAAAATCTTCTATTGTAAGTCAAACCGTGATCTATAACGATCTATAACGTCAGAACGTCTTACCTTCAAATTCAATATAAAGTTTCATATTCACGTTTCTTTTTATTATATTTTGTGCTGCTGCTGTTGATCTTTTTAAACCTCAAAAAAAAATAATATAAGAGCTGAGTCTATTTCATAATTTAAATGAGTACGCGCATTTACTCTACATACTATTTCATAGTCAAGGTTAAGTTTCTATTATTGTCCTGAAAAA